TAACCTCAGAAGTATAAAGCTACAAATGTATAAGAAACACCATTTGAAAGTTTCAGCTTCCTTTTTTGCCCTCTGAAGATGGTAGAAGTTGACTGAAAGAAATTTGAGTTGGCTGAGTATGGTGGCTCACGCCTGTGACCCTAACACTGGGAAGCTGAGGTGGGAGGAATGCTTGAGACCAGGAGTTTGAGACCAGCCTGAGCAATATAGTGGGGCCTCTGTCTCTTGAAAGAAAGAAAGAAAGAAAGAAAGAAAGAAAGAAAGAAAGAAAGAAAGAAAGAAGGAAACTTAGGTCATTCAAAATTCACAAAACTAAAGTAGCATAAAGAGAATTTAAACAAACTTCCAAAAAATTTTTTTGGTGAATTTGTAGCTTTATACGTCTTAACTTCTGAAGTTATTAAAGCTTAAAACTGCACTAAGGCTTCTGGGACTTGGGCATACTGACAGCTGTGAATCCTCAGATGGGCTACCTAACCTCTCTGAGCTTCAATCCCTCATCTGTCAAATCGATATAATTCAGGATCATGGGCCGGGTGCGGTGGCTGGTGCCTGTAATCCCAGTACTTTGGGAGGCCAGGGCAAGAGGATCATTTGAGCTCAGGAGTTTGAGACCAGCCTGGGCAACATAGCGAGACCCCACTTCTATTTTTTCAAATCCAGTATCATGCTCCAGCACATCACGAGCCTTTATTAAATGCTAGTCATTGTGATTATAGTCACTCTTGTTAAAGGCTATGTAATGCTACACTGTATAAAAACTCAAGACCTTGTTCAGCATTTCCTTTGCTTCCAATTCTCCAGTATTAAATACCACGTTGGGGCAAAGATCCTGAAAGTTGAAGTGGTTTTGAAAACGCTCTCAAACTGGATCTTTTCCGCTGGTCTTACACCAACACAACAGCAATCATCAACACAGAAGACTTCTGTGACCAAATATGTGGGCTTTTCCCTACACGCCAAGCAGCAGGCCCAGCTGAGTGCCTTCCAATTCAGTTCAGATAAGCTCTACCTGGAGATAGTGCAGATCCCACAGATTCAGGGCTCAGTTTCCGAGACTGCCCGCACAGCCCCAAGACAGCAGTCGCCCGTCTGGCCTCTGGAACTTGCGACCAATCAGCTTCAAATAGGATTCCTACAACGTCCTCTTTGGGTTTAATTTGCTGGAGTGGGTCACAGGACTCCGGGAAGCACTGACTTACTTTTACTGGCTTATTGTAAGGGGTATTACGAAGGATGCAGGGGAAGAGTTGCAGGGCGAGGTGTGGAGGAAGGGGTGTGGGACTTTTGTGCCCTTCTGGACGGCCACCCTCCAGGAGCCACCACGTGTTCAGCTCTTCAGAAGCCCTCTGAACCCGTCCTCTTGGGCTTTACGGAGACTTCATGACATCTGCATTCCTTTCTCCCAGAGTATAGGGCAGGACCCTCTCTGGAGAGGGCCTTAAGATCCGCAATCAGAAAGGTGTTGGAAGATTAGGTGTTGGAAGATCAGGGTCCTGGCTTGGGGCAGGAGAAAGCAGGGCAGAAGGTCAGAGAGATTCCGTTTCCTGGGGCCTGCCCTGAGGCCCAACACATTATAGCCAAAGACTGGAACGAGGGCAATGGGAGCTGTGAGCCAGGAGCCGAGGACGAAAATCAAAACCAGCACCGCATAGGTTTCCCCGCCCCCCATCTTTGAGGGACTTTACAGCTCTGAGGGCTTTTCAGAGGGGGTTATGCCCTGCCTAAGGTCACGCAGGAACTGTGGCCTCCAACTCAGCCTTCTGCCTCTAACCCAGGGCACTGCCCAGTGTCCAGTACTGTTTCTGCTTCTTAGGAGGGCCCCCACATCCCCCATGCACCCCAATCCCAGTTGGGGCCATCATGTCTGGGGTTGGGGAGCTCTGGACTCCAGGTCCCCCAGCCTTGTTTGCGGGAAGACGGTGTCCCCTCCATACATGGTGCTGTGAATGCTGGCCTGCAGAACCCTGCTTCTCCCTCCTGTACTATTTTTAGCTCCTGTGAGTTTCCTGTAGGGACCCAGTCCAGCCTCTAGGGCCTGTGGATTGGAAGCTGTGAGCAAGGCAGGGGGCACTGGCCAGGGCACCCTGTGGAAAGTTCTCTCCTAGAGTCTGAAACCACAGGGCTTAAGGGTTAGCTCTGGGGAAGCTGGGGGTAGGAAATGAGGCCCCCCAATCACAAAGCTAGGCTAGGATCCAGGGACTGAGCCTGGGGTGGGGGTGGGAGCTGAGCAGCCTAGGCCTATGCTGCAGCAGCTGGGGCCTGCTGGGAGTTGGCTATCCCTGACCTTGGCCCCAGGCTCAGCCCGGAATAGCTGTGGGGCTGGGCCAGGCCTGTGTCGGACCTGTGTGCGCTCGAGCATGTGCCTTGTGCGCAAAGGCACTGGTGCACACAGGAGTGCCTGTGGATTCTGTATGCAGCTTTGTGTGTGGCTGAGTGTGAGTCTCAAGGTCGCCAGAATCACAGGTGCCATTCACCTACGTGTGCGTTCCCTGGACCGGTGTGCCAGCCTGTGTCCCTGTGGTTGGGCACATGTGTACCCAGGACTGCCACTAGAGTTGTGCAACTTGGAGCCCTTACCAGTGGGTTCAGGGGTAGACGGGTCCACGTGGCACAGGGACCCGCTTGTTCCCCACGGTAGAATTGTATCTTCGGGCAGCGGACGTGGGAGTGCTGCCGGTGGGTGTATACACATCTGCGGTAGGCTTGGCCGGGGCCCTTGGCTGTGTTGCAGCGGACTGAGGCAGGTGGGCTCAGCAGAGGCTGTCCTTTGGGCACTACTGGAGGCCTTATCTGGCCCCAAGCCAAGAATGAGCTGGAAGAGAGGCTGGGCAGGTCTTGCCCCATTTAGCAGATAGGAAAACCAGGCTTGCAATGCGCATGAGGTCACCCAGGGAATGGGGAAGAACTGGCCTGCTGCCCAGAGCTCAGCCAGCCTTCCCATTCCCCTAGATGTGGCTGAACAGGAAGTCTGGGCTCTAGGGAGGAACAGGTGGGAGCCCTTCCCTTCCTGCTAGAGCCCAGGCAGCACTGCCTTCCCTCAGCCACACGTGCAGATGATGAAACTGAGGCCCAGAGACACCTAGCACAAGATCGGATCTGCCCTGCTACGGGCCTTGCCCCACCTGCCCCTGTTTGTCACAAGTGGTGAGGCCACATGCTTCTCCTGAGGCCATGACCACTCTCTAGCCCTTGCCTCCCTCCCAAACCCCACGGATGCCTGGTAGCCCACACCCATGTTCTAGGGGACCTATAGATCTGCTAAACCATGCTCATCCCTGAAGGATCCCCTTGAACCCACCATGCCCCTCCTCTCAGAGTCTCACATAACCCCAAGAAGGAGGTGCAGGTAAGACTATTTCACCAGCAGGGACACTAAGGCACAGAGAGGCCACACATTGCCTGCGATCACACAGCAAGAGGAAGCAGCATAAGGCCGCATACCAGTCTCTTTCCAGAATGTTCTGCTCCCTCCCATTGCCCCACAGGCACACAGGATTCCCACAGGGAAGACCTTGGAGGCCTGTTTAGAACCTGAAGCCTGAGTTCATTCCACTTGCTGGGGCAGTGGCTCTGCCAGGCTGTGTAGACTCAGGGAGATCATGTGCCCCGGCAGACAGTTCCCCAGGCCATCAGCGCTGTGAAGGCTGGTGGGGACCAAAGTCCGGAGCCTGGGGGCGAAGGACATGGAAAGGGGAAGCTTTCCCAGAGGGCCAGAGGGACACTTCACCAGAGACCTCCTTTGAGACAGCCCCCACCCACCAACACAGAAACACCTCTGGCAGGCGGGGACCAGAGGAGCAGGGCCTTTGGGAATGGAGCCCCTCAGGCAGCAGGGGGTGCAAAAAAGCAAGACTGGAAAAGGGGAGGCCAGAGCTAGGGCAGGGCCTTGGCAGTGTGGGAAGGGATGAAGAAGCAGGGAGGGGTGGCTCTGCAGGATCTCTCCAGGAGGAGAGCAATGTGGGGCAAAAGGGTGAGGTCTCTGGGGCCTGCAGTCACTCAGGCAAGGGTCCCAGGCTGGAAACCCTCCAAGCCTAACGGTGACGTGCAGCTTGGCAGATGGTAAGCTCCCACCTGGCGACAACCCAAGGGAGACAGGGAGATGAGCTTGGCAGGCTGCAGGCTCCCATTTACCTCCACTGGAGGTCCCTTCAGCCCAGCAGGATGGGGGATGCCTCTCACCTCCTCAGGACTGAGTAGGGGCTGGTGGGTCGCCCTTTCTCCTCTTCCACAGCTGCCTTGGACCCTGAACCTCCTACTCACTGGAACCTGGGTGCCATTGAGAGCAACGAGTGACTAGCCTGGTGGCCAGAGGGGGATCAGGTGGCTGGCAGGGGGCTTCTTTGTTACAGATTTGAACTAAGTTCCCTCCTGCTCCCTGGGTTCTGTCCCAGACCAGTCTTCAGCCACCCTTTTCAAGGTCTCAGGCCTTGACACAAAGCACACCCGGCCGGCTTCATGCTCTACTGGGCCATGTTGAGATTCAGGAGCGGTGGAGGGGAAGGAAGCCTCCCCAGTGTCACACAGGAGGGGCAGCCGGCTATGAACACCCAGCCCAGGGGGCCGCAGGGCACCTCAGTATACCCCTCTATCGGTTCCAAGTTCCACGAACCCACACAGCGATCGGTGTGTGCCAGCTTCTGTGACTCAGGGCAGACTGGGGAGGTCACGCGGCTGCACCCCAGGCTCGCAGAGCAGTGGAGGGCTCCCGTCTCCGCACTAAGGGAGACTGAGGGATGAGGTGTGACAGTTCAGCGCCCCCTCCCTTGGGCAGCAAGGTGGGGAGGGGGCAGCAAGGTGGCCTCGGGCGCCGGGTCCCAGGGGCCTCGGTATCCCGGGGAACCACAGAGGGAGACCTCAGGAGAGGCGTGGGGCGGCGGGACGGATTAATGCTGCGCACCACCTCCTCTGTGGCCCGTCGGTGGCCACCCTGTAACTCCAGAGCAACACCCGGAGGCGGGGCGAGGCGGGGCGGAGGGGGCGGGGCTGGCAGGGGCAGCAGCAGGGGGTGCAAGCGAGGAGCCTAGCGGGCACTCCCGGCGCAGGGCAGCCACAGCGCTCAGGTAAGGGCGCAAGGGAGGGCGCGCGTCTGCGGGCGGGTCTCTGCGCTCCACGCTCAGCCCGTCCAGGTGGGGGCTCCCGCCTCCGCACGCCCTCGGCAGCCGCAGTCCCCGCCCCGCTCCTCGGTCCCGGCGGCAGCCACCCCCGGTCGTCCGAGTCCCTCCTAAGACCCCCCTCGGCTCCCGCGGGGCTCACAGCGTCGTCCTCCCCGCCTGGCTGCCCGCCGGCTCGAGTTCGGGGCAGCGCCGGGAGCCCGACCTGAGCCGTGGTGCCAGGGCCGGGGGGAGACTGCCAGGAGGAGGTGACGCCGGCTGGTTAGGGCGGAAGGGCAGGACACCGGAATCCAGGAGGTGGCCTTTCGCATGGGAGCCGCATGGCAAATGCCTGGCGGCCGGAACAGGAGCTCGGGTCTGGGAAACTCCAGCGACTGAGTGTGTGCCTGGGCAGGGAGAGGAAGGGAAGCCGGGACGTAAGCGACAGCAGGGAGAGGTGCTCATTCCAGGACCAGAGGCTTGGAGCCACGGAGGGGAGGGGCCAAGGAAGGGTGGTGCGGGGAGAGGCGAGCATGAGACTGAGGGATCAGGTGTGACAGTTCAGCGCCCCCTCCCTAGGGCAGTGCGTCTCTCTACTGTCCCCCACTGGGCACCAGACAACGAAGGGGCTTCCAGGGCAGCCCAGGAAAAAGCCTCCACAGCAAGCAGGACTTCCCTGCCTCTGCAGACCAGGAAATACCAGAGTGAGTGTCATGATGAGGTGTGTCAGGGGCCTGAGGAGCCAGGCCTGGGAGGGGATAGGGGAGGCCTCAGTGACCCTGCCTGGGAGGGACCCAGTGTGGACAGAGGCCAGGAATGCAGAGAAGAGACCAGGTCTGGCTACTGGTTAGAGAGCCACAGGGGCAGTCACTGACGCACCTAGGCACGCTGTGACTGGCTAGTTCTGTCCTCACCCAGCCCCACCCCGTGTGAGCATCAGGACTCTCTTAGGACAGCCCTGCCAGGATCTTGCTGTGTGCCTCAGGTGAGTTGCCCAACCTCTCTGAGTCACTTAGCTCAGGAGAGCCTGCTGGGCTGGAGCCAGAGGTCTGGGTCTGAACACTGCACAAGTTCTACAGATAGTGTCTCTGGGCCCTCCCATTGGTCCCGGGCCTCAGTTTCTCCATCTGTACATTGGGCACAGCCTGCCACTAAGGAACCTTTGAACTGGAGGGAGGAAGAGGGTGAGGAAGCCATGCCCTTGACTGGAGGGGGAAGGTTAGGGGTGGGACAGGGGTTGGGACAAGGTTAGGAGTGGCCACTCCTGCAGGGCCCTCATGTTAAGGTTCAGCCCCTCTTCCTCCTGCTCTGCAAACGTGCACACTCATGCACACTCACACACACTCATGCACATTCATGCTGCCTCACCCCTGTACTTACACTCACCTCATCACTTCCAGGATGAAGCCTCAAACTCCCTAGCCTGGAAGCTGGGCCCCTCAGGGCTACCCAACCCGAATCCCAGCTTCGACCGCAGTCTTACGTCAACCCACTGCTTCCCAGCCATGCTTAACTTCTGCCCATTCCTCTGGGCGGTGGGACTCAGTTTTCCAGGGTTAGAGATCCCTTTGGGGCCACAGATGTGGAAGATCCCCCAGGCTAACAGTTGCCAACTTGAGTCTGGACCCCAATGGTCATAGGCTGCTTTGTGGGGTGGGGAGTCTAAGGACCAGCTCCCTACACCCAGAGAAGCCCCTTTCCACCTGTTTGTCCTTTTGAGGGGAGACTTAATTCGTTTGAAAAGCTGTGATCTGCTTTGACTGAATGCCGCGGCTCATGCCTGTAATCCGAGCCCTTTGGGAGGCCAAGATGGGAGGATCACTTGAGGCCAGGAGTTCGAGACCAGCCTGGTCAACATAGTGAGACCCCATGTCTAATTTAAAGAAAAGGAAAAGAAAAAAAATGCTGTGATCTGGTTGAACCCCCATTTCATAGAGGGATGGCTGAGGTACAGAGAGGAGTAGGGCTGTGGATGAGCTGAGGCCGGGCCAGAGCTGAGCAGCCAGGTGAGGTGTAGGGGGTGGTCAGAAGCTGCTCCTGGGGCAGCCGCTGAGACTGAGCAGTGGGGACAAGGGACGGGAAACCTGAGGAGAAGAGGCATCTCCAGGGCCAGAGAGCTCCTTGCCAAGGTATGGTGTCGGCTGGGGTTGGGGTGCTGGCCCCCAGAAGAGTGCAGGGGTGGTGGTGTTCAAGTCTTCCTAGCGGCGAGCTATTCACTGCAGTACCTTTTCAACTTGCACTGAACTGGTTCCCAGTCTCCATCTCCCATCCTAGCCTTACCCTTTCTCCCACCTCCCCAGCCAGCCTTGAATATCCTCGCCGCTTAGCTTAGACCCCAGCTGATGGCCAGCTGAGAGTAGAAAGGTCGTCCCCAAAGGGCCTTTCCATTCCAGCAGTGTCGGGAGACATGGGTGTGAGTTAGGTGGCCCTGGCTGGACTCCTATTCCCTTGGCTGGGCTCTCCTGGTCTGCCTGAGCTGACCTGGAGTCCCCTGTATCCTGGGGGCCTGGGGCTGCCTCAGGGGCCCACAGAGGGAGAAGATGGCTGCAGCTGGGCGTCAGGCAGCTTCCACTTCCTGCCTCTCCCTCTGCAGCCTCACGCTCCCGAAGCAGCAGTAGCAGGAAAGGTGGGGCAGGAATGCCTGGCCCGGGCCCTTGGCCAGAGCTCTGAGGGGCCCGCCCCACTCCATTCCAGAGCCAATTCCATGGGAGTTGTAGGCTCTGCCAGCGGCCTGGGATGCCCCCTGGCACCCTCGGGCAGGGTGGGGAGGGGATGGCTGAGACCCCTTCCCATGCACCCTTTTGGGTCTGTCTATGTCACCTGCTTATCATTGGCTGCCCTGATTATGGCCCCTGCTCCACTCAGGCTGTCTAACTCCAAAGCCTCAGGGTGTCAGAGACAAGGAGAGAGACAGTCTGCGGTCTTGGGCTAAAAGACCCTCTAACTCTCTGCCCTAGATATCTGATCAGGCCATTTGGGCAGATGAACTTTGCCAAGTGAGGGTACCAGGGTCTGGTGGAGGAGGGCTTTGTTGAAGTAGAGGCTGTAGCCTGGCCGTGGGGGTGGGTCTGAGCCCAGGACTCTCATCACCCCTCCCTCCAGGCAGGGCACTGCATTCCCACGTGATTCCTGCTGATTGGAACATCCCTCAGTCCAGGACAGGAAATCTCAAGGCTCAAGCCCACCTGCCCACCCCAAGGGCCTCTACCCGTCCAGCAGGCCCCGCTTCAGGGTGGTTGGTTGTGATCAGCTATCCCTCCATCCGGTTAGGGGACCATGCTCCCATCCACATAGAACTCTCTCTCACTGCCCGGCACCAACTCTTCTGCAGCTGTCATATGTTCGTCTCCCCAAATCTGACTTTGGATCCCATCGTTACCTTGCCCTGAAGTCCTCCATGACTGTCCGTGGCCGGCTGAGGCACAGAGAAGCTGTGGCCCTTCAGGGTGCTGCTGGGCGGGCTGCCCTCAGAGTCTGGGCCCTCACATCTGGGAGCCTTTGCTCTCACAGTTCTCTCCCTTGCATGCTGCGCCCTCTCTTCCTCTTCACTTCTTGCCCATCCTTTGTGGCTCCAGCAGGAGGCCTCCAGACTCCCCCATGCCCTCAAACCTCTGCTTGCTTACACAGCCTTGTGGGTGACAGGGAGTCCCGAGCCATGGCCTCGAGGACAAGAAGGCTGGACTCCTCTGATGGCATGTCCCTGTTTACAGAGACAGCAGAGTCCCTGAAAGGAGACTCAATGGAAAGGGGGCTAAGACCAGGGCACCACTAACACTACTCTGGGCACTTGGGATCCATGGTGGGTGTTTGAGCAGAGGAATGAGCAGACCAAACTGGGCTTAAAGAATATCTACCCTTTGGGGAAGAAAGGGTTGCTTCCCTTGGCAGCTCTGAGCCCTCTCTCTCCTTCAAGGACCCTTCAGCTGGGCCCAGGCAGGGAGCAGGGAGGGGGTCAGTGCCAGTCCAGGAACTCCCCTGTGAGGTGATCTGGGCTCACCGCTCAGTTCTGATGTGGCTGGTCACGGACCTTGCTTCTGGGCACTGGGCCTGAGAGGATGGGCACTGGCCTTGCTCCCCACCATGCTATTGAGCTATAACCTGTGCCCTATCTAGGAGGCCAAGTCCGGCACCCCGGCCATGTGCAGCCCTGAGGAGGCGGCCCTGCTGCGGCTGGAGGAGGTCTTCTTAGCCACCCTCGCCCGTGTCAACAGCCTTGTCCTCAAGCCCCTGCTTCTAGCTGGTGAGTCTAGGCTCTGTAGTAGGGAGGAAGGGCACCTAGGAATGATCCCAGGGACAGGAGTCCTACCTTGTTGGATTCGCTGAGCCACAGCTTTGTCAACCTCAAATAGGAGTGGCGACACTTGGTATCAGCATCTTCTGATGGAGGTGGTGCGATCTCGGTTCACTGCAACCTCTGCCTCCCAGGTTCAAGTGATTCCTGTGCCTCAGCCTTCTGAGTAGCTGGGATTACAGGCGCTTGCCACCATGCCTGGCTAATTTTCATATATTTAGTAGACACTGGGTTTTACTATGTTGGTCATGCTGGTCTCGAACTCCTGACTCCAAGTGATCCGCCCACTTTAGCCTCTCAAAGGGCTGGGATTATAGGCATGAGCCACCATGCCCGGCCCGACTACTCCCTTCTGAAAGGAAACCCGAGGGGCCAGGCCATGAATTCCATATCTGTGCACAGCCTGGTCTGGCCATCTGTAGCCCAGACCAGGCTGTGCACAGATATGGAATTCCTCCTCTCCCAGGGTGAAAGACTGGAAACTGTCCTCTGCTTGAATTTTCATCTTGTTCCCACCTAGGGCACCTGCTGGTGCCAGGAAAAGCCCTGACTGGAACACAGGACTTGTAGGTTTCACTTCCTGCTTAGGTCTCACTTGTAAGACCTTGGACAGGTGCCTCTGTGCATCTGTGAAATGGCAGAGGACTGTGTGACCCTGTGGACTCCACATTCTGGATCTGAGGAGTCCAGGACGAGGAAGCCCAGAGCCAGGGGGGAGTTTGTGTGTGCACTTAGTTCCCTAAGGTTCTCAGGGTTATCCCTGGTAAGTGAGGAGGTAGATGTATACCCCTATTTCCTCCTCGAGGGTGCTGCCCCCTGCTCCAGCCTGCCCTCCCCCTACTCAGCTCTAGGGTGCACCAGTTCTGTCCTGTAGATCCCAGGGATGCAGGACTCTGCCACAGATCCAGGGCTGGCCGGTGCTGGTGGCCCTCATGTGAACACCCAGGGCCTCTGCATGTTCCCTGGGAGGTGATGCCCACGTCCCCCACTCACAGTGTGGCTGTACTCCCTCCCCAGCCCCAGAGCCCTCAGATTCCTGGGGCAGAGAATGCCTGCAGCTCCTGCAACAGCTGCACAAGAGCTCCCAGCAGCTCTGGGAAGTGACGGAGGAAAGTCTGCACTCACTTCAGGAGAGGCTGCGTCACCCGGACTCCACCGGTCTGGAGTCCCTGCTGCTGCTGCGAGATGCTGACCGTGTCCTGCAGGCCCATGTGGAGTAAGACCCCTGGAGGGGGGGCTGGGGCTCAGCCCTAGGGTCAGAGTGCCACCTGGCATTGAGGTTCAGCTGGGGTTGGGGTTCCCAGGGGTCAGGCTTCAGGCAAAGGTTTGGTGCCTGGGGTCAGCCTCACCTGGGTTTGGGTGTTCTTACAGCAGGCTCAGACTCTCCAGACTGAGCCTTGGGGCCTCCTGGGGAAGAGAGACTGTATGTTAGCATTGTCTTGTTGGCTCAGGAGTTGAGGTCTCCAATGCCCAGAGCCAGGCCGCTGTCTGGACCCTCAGGGCTGCAGCTGCTTAGTGGGTGGGATCTGGGGACCCCAGGGAGCAGTCGCTTAGGTGTGGGGCTGGGGACTGGGTTTGCAGTGTGTCCTCTGTGCTGCCTGCAGGTATATCAAGTCTTACACAAGCTGCATGGTGGTGCAGGCCTTCCAGAAGGCAGCAAGGAGGAGAGGGTGAGCACAGGGCTGGTGCGGGCCCCTGAGGGGGGAGGAGTGCCTGGGTGAGGGTGGGGTTGGGGAAGCCCCAGCCCCGGAGCAGTGGGTGTCACAGCCCATGACTCATCCTGGAGGACTCCTGGCTCTACAAGTGTGCATTGATCCACACGGGAAGAGAAGGAGGGAAGGCCTAGTGAGGCCAAGAACAGAGTCCAGACCCCCTTTAGCTGGGCTGGCCTTGGGCCAGGGAAGGAGGGGCACCTTCAGGGTAGATGGCTGTGGTCAGTGATCCCTTCACACCCTGAGATACTGCTCCTAAACCTGTGAGGGTAACTCAGGCACTGTGTTGATCTGATAGGGTTGAGGTTTTGGGCCTGGGGCTGGCCCTGGGATCTGGGGGGATTCGCCAGGGCAGGGAGGCCACGGTGTGGGTGCAGGAATGGATGAGGGGGTGAAGGTGGTGTGTGGCCCTCTCTATGCGCAGCGAGTATTGGCGGGGCCAACGGAAGGCGCTGCGCCAGCTGCTGTCAGGCCTGAGCTCAGAGGGCTCGGTGGGCGCATCGCTGGGCCAGGCCCTCCACCAGCCACTCGCCCATCATGTGCAACAGTACGTGCTCCTCCTGCTGAGCCTCGGGGACACCACTGGGGAGGTGGGTACAAGGGGCAGTAGCTGTGGGGGGACAGGGCCCAGACTCTGAGGGCTCAGCCTGTACTCAGGAACCCGAGTTCAGGGGCGGGGGATTGAGGGAATCAGCCCTGCTGTGGGGTTTCCAGGGGACATGGGGGACGTGGTCCAGCCCTGAGGAGGGGTTCCAAAGACACAGTTCTGCCCTAGGGAATCTTAGTGGGTGACAGCACTGCCCTTCCCTTAGGTGTCTGAGGCATGTGGCCCTGTCCTGGTAGAGCCAGCAGAGACCCAGAGAGCAGGGGTGGAATCGTGTCCTGGGAGTGGGCACACGTGGCCCCAGGCTGAGCTGGGGAAGCACCTTCATATTCTACCTGCTGCCCCACCAGCAGAAGAGGAGCCATCAGGGAGAAAAGGGCAAAGTTTGGCCTAGATTCAGGCCTCCTGACCAGCGGGGGTCAGGACTAGACTATGGAGCTACCGCCAGGCGGCGGAAGATTCCAGCAAGCTCCCTGCTCACTAGCTGCCCTATCCCTCTTCAGCGTCACCCATCCTGGGAGCTGGTGGTGAACGCAATCACCGTCTTTGGGAACCTGCAATCCTTCATGAAGCAGGCATTGGACCAGGCTGCGGCCACGCAGGCTCTCTGGCACACCCTGAGAGGCCGGCCGAGGGTGAGCTGGGGGCCCGAGGGGAAGTCAGGGAGGGGTTCCACATTGGGCATGGAGCTGTTGGGGGGCTTGAGCTGCTGGCTGTATTCTCCGGGCCTCAGTTTTCCCATATGGAAGGGGAAGTGGTGCTGAACTAGGTGTCTGTCAGGTCCCTCTGTCCAGCTGTTCTTATCCGTCTGCTGAGCATGTCCTGGGCCAGGCCCTGACCTGGCCTAGAGAAGAGGCAGTCAGCAGAACCCGCCCCCTCTCCTGAGGATGTCACCGATCACACCCTCCGTTACTGCCTGCCATGGTGTGGACTGTCTCTGCAGGGAGGAGAGTCCCGTGTGCCCTGAGGGCGTGACAGGCTTGGACCTGGTGTGGAGAATTAGGAGTGTAGAGGACTGCAGAAGGGAGGCGGGGTTGCTGAGTCCCAGGAGAGGACTGACAGGGCATGGCTGGGCTGGGTCACAGGTGTGGGAGAGGACACTGAAGCTTTGAGAGAGAGACTTGCTGCCCTGCTGGGAGAGGCCAGAGATGAATCACCTGTGCATTTCTGTCCATCACTGATTTGGGGTGCACACCTGGTCCACTGGAGGAGGCCCCTGGGAGGTGTCTGGGGTACAGAGGGAGGTGGCAGGGTGGCTGGCAGCTTGCAGGACAGAGGTTCCTAAGCCTTGTACTGTCCTCTTTGCCCCACCAGGATGTCCTCTGCACCCCTGCTCACAGACTCCTGCAGGACAGCCAGGACGTGCCCGTGACGGTTTCACCCCTGCGGGCTGAGCGTGTGCTGCTTTTCGATGACGTCCTCGTTTTGCTGCAGGTTGGGGTGGGGCTGACCTGGGGTCTGGGGCCACAGTAGGGTTTTGGGTTCTGGTTGGAAGAGGAGTAGGAAAGGGACACGGTGCTGGGACTGAGCACGTGGGCTTGGAGGGATGGTCACGGACAGAAAGGCAGAGTGCTGGGGAGAGGTGGTCAGCTGGAGCTGTCCCCAGAGGAGCATGGGCTGAGGGGAAAGGCTGTCCAAGGCTGGTCCCCGCTTCAGCCCCTCCCAGCTGGTGTCCTTGGTTAAATGTCTTCACCTTAGTTTTCCCATCTGGAAAGTGGGGGTCATTGTGAGTAAATGTGTTCTATAGCAGACACCTGACAACTCTTAGTTCCCTTTGTACTCAAATGAGAGAGGAACCCCAGACAGGAAGTCATGAGTGACTGAGGAGGGCTGGATGAGAAGGCCTCTAGAGAAAAGTGCCCCACAGGAGCAGTGCCTGGGCTCTCAGCATGGTGGAAGTCGGAGGGAGCCAGGCCTGGGATTGGGAATTGTTGCTTGGCCAGTCACCAGCTGTGGTTTGTCTCCCTGGAATCATGTTGCCCTGGCGAGGTCAACTGCACTGTCTTCTCTGCCCCTTAGAAGGTTGGCCTGGAACCCCCTTGCAGACAGGGTGGATGGGGCCTGAGGTATGCTGCTGCCCAGCCTACACCGGTGTGCCCTGAAGCCTGATTTTGGGGTTGGTTCTGATTTAGTTTGAGTTCCCCTCCACTCCCGACCTCACGCTCTGTTCCGGGGACACTGATGAGCCACTGTCCCTTCCCTGTGCTAGCCCTTTCCTGCTGCTGGATCTTTGCACATGCTGTCGTGTCTGCTGGGCTGTTTCTCGTCCATGGCCTGTGGTTGGCAAGCTCCTTCTCATCGCTCAGGCCTGGGCCCCCACCTCCGCCTCCTGGTGTGGAGCAGTGATCAGCATGCCTGGGTCGGGCAGGAAGTTGCTACACAAAATTTTCCAGAGGAAGGGGCTTTTTTTCTGGCCCTCAGAGCAGGAAGGCATTCCAGGTAGAAAGAACAGCATGAGCAAAGGTTCATAGTGAGCAGAGGTTGGGGCAAGCTCAGGAAGGTGCGATTGTGGAGTGGTGAGAGCTGGGAACACAGGAGCCCGGAGTGGGCTGTGAGGCTGTGAATGTTAGGCTCAGCAGTGTCTCAGCCCCCAGGCAGCAGGAGACATAGAGGTTTCCAGCAGAGGCTGACTGCGTCCCAGCTTCATTTCCAGACCACTCTCCTGGCCACAGGGCGCTGGAGGCTGGTCGAGTTCCTGGCCAGGCCCAGGGCTGGAAAGGACATGGAGGAGCTGCCCCCAGGCGGGGGCAGGCCAGAGGGGAGAGGGGCTCGGTGCTGGATGAGCTGGGCAGAGCAGCCTCGGTAGCCACGCGGGGTTGAGCTTGGGGCAAGCCTGGGCGAAAGAGTGGGTGAGCACCTGGCCTGGGCTCTGATGACGCCTGTGTCCGTCCTCTTCTAGGGCCACAACGTCCACAGCTTTGATCTGAGGCTGGTGTGGGTGGATCCTGGGCAGGACGGGTGAGCAACGCCCTCAGCTGATGCCCCAGGCCTTCCCTTTACCCCATGATAACGTGCCCACACCCGGGGCTCTGGCTTGGGCCCCTCCACCCTCCTGGACAGAACTGGGGCCTACTCATCGCCTCCGTCTGTCTAGGTGCACATTTCACCTCCTCATGCCGGAAGAAGAGTTCTCCTTCTGTGCCAAGGACTCCCAGGGCCAGGTGCGTGTGGGTGAGCTGCGAATTTCGGGAGTGGGGTCCCAGGACCGGATAGGAAGAGGGCAGAAGTATGCAACCCTACAGGGCCCCGCAGGAGTGGCGGTGAGTGGCTGGCAGGCCTCTGGGGTCCAGGTCGGAGTAAATCCGGGTCGGGCATTAGAATGCCAAAAAGAACAGGGTGCTTTTCTTTGCAAAGACAGAATTGGGTCCTGTGTTGATCCCTGCCCTGGGGCCTTGTTTGACCAACTCTGGGCAGGCCCTGAAACTGTGGAGGAGGATCTCAGGTTGGGTGGAGGGCCTCAGAGAGCAGCAAGGAGCAGTTGAAGGGTCCCCCAGGTGACAGAACGGAGTAGGGGGTGGCACGTGGAGGGGTGGGACCTAGAGCTGTGCCAGAAGGCTTTTTGGAGGGAAAGCCTCCAGCAGCAGTGACCCACTTCCCCGGGTTCCCCTCCTACCAGGCCGTGTGGCAGTGGAAGGTGACCCGGGCCGTTTGCCAGGCCCTGCGAGGGAAGAAGGACTTCCCTGTGCTGGGGGCTGGCCTGGAGCCCCCCGAGCCTCCTGCCCACCGCTGTGCAGCATATACCTTCCGCGCGGAGGGCCGGCTCTGCCAGGCCACGTACGAGGGCGAGTGGTGCAGGGGCCGGCCCCATGGCAAGTGAGTGGCGGGAGCTCTGGGTGGCAAGGTGGGGCTCCTCAGGGGCCTGGAGGCAGATAGCAGCGCATAAACCTAATAAATAGTCTCAGCGCGTGCAGCAGAAGCGGTTACTCCCTGTGACAGTCAATTCTCAGAGTCCCTCTTAAGTCCTCTTGGACTGGGCCTGGCCCAGAGGTGGCCTGTGCCAAATAAAGTCTTGATGGTGACACTAGAGAACAAGGGGTAGCCACTGGGTGCTGGCCTTAGAGCCTGCAGGTGCCATTCCGTTCTTAGGAGGGTGGGAGGATAATTCTTGTATCTGCTGCTGGTGAAATGGTTTGCACACATTCTGTGTCCGTCTGTCCTCATAAAGGCCCTCTGTAAGTGCTTTTACCCATTTCGTAGGTACAGAAACTGAGGCCTAGTGATGGGTATGGCCTGCCCAAGGTCTCAGGGCAAGTAATAGGGTGAGCTGGCCTCAATCACAGGCCTGTGTGACCCCACAGACAGGCAAGCCTTTACAGACCATGTGGCCCAACCCCATGCCGCAGCTGGGAAAACAGACCTGGTGAGCAGAAGGGACTCACAAGACCACAGCCTCAAGCACCTCTGCTAGTTTCTAATATGTTGCCTCCTTCCAGAAAGGGCTTGAGGAGGCTTATGAACAAAAGGACAGAAAAAACACAGAAGTGGGGAGGAGGATGGTAGAAACCCCACTGACTGGCATTAAACTTGAGCTTGATGCTTAGGTCTGAGCTTCCCGTTGGTCAAGGGAAAAAGAGAACCTAGATGTCTCCAGGGCTTTCCTTATGGGATGTGGTGAGTGTGCCCCATGAGGCTGCTGGTACAGTTGGGCCAGGAGTAGAAAAGGGCTAAAGGGGCTTTCTGAGGGAGTGTTTGGAGCTCAGACGAGAGGACTAGGTGGGTGCAGAGAGTCCAGTTCAAGGGAAGAGGAAGGAAGGGCATCTGAGAAAGTTTGCGGCTGAGGTTTCTGAGGGATGGGAGGGCCTGAGGCCTGTGAACCTCCACTGTGTTCCAGGGGAACCCTGAAATGGCCGGATGGGCGGAATCACGCGGGGAATTTCTGCCAGGGCCTGGAGCACGGGTGAGGCTGGCTGGGGCTGCTGCTGCGGGCATGTGGTGGGCAGGGAGTGCTTTCCTCCCCTGCTGTGGTCACCAGCGGGCCCCTTCCTGAATTCCCAACCCTCAAGCAGGAACTTAGAGACAATCTGGTCCAGTCCCCCTCGCTGTACAAAAGGGGAACCAAGGCCCCGAATAGGGGGCCCACCTCAGCTCGAGGTCACAGAGGGAGTGGTACAGGCCAAAAGGTGCTCCAGGGTACCTGGGGACAGCCTGGAGGGAGGGGGTCCTGAGAGAGGCCCTTTGAAGAATAGGAAGGCTGAGGGCCTCAGATTCTCCCTGTTGTCCGAAGGCTCCTTGGGGGCAGGGATACTCCTGGGTGGCCTGGAGCCGGTGTGACTGGCGTCTCAGGTCAGAAGTGATCCCCCCTCCCACAACCATGCTGTCAGCTTCGGCATCTGCCTGCTGCCCCAGGCCTCGGAGGACAGGTTCGACTGTTACAAGTGTCACTGGCGAGACGGCATTATGTGTGGCTACGGCATCTGTGAGTAAGTGACCCTGGCTGAGGGATTCATGGGATGAGCCCATCCTCTGGGCTGAGCTCCATGAGGCAGGGCTGGCTATTTATGACCCTCCCCAGGTACAGCACTGACGAGGTGTACAAGGGTTACTTCCAGGAGGGCCTGCGGCACGGCTTTGGGGTCCTTGAGAGTGGCCCACAGGCCCCCCAGCCCTTCAGATACACGGGCCACTGGGAGAGGGGCCAGAAGAGTGGCTATGGCGTTGAGGAGGACAGTGACAGGTGAGTGCCCCACAGCCACACTCCCAGGACAGAGGGGCGGACAGGAGCCTCACAGACCAGATTGCCGCAGGACGCAGGATCCTGTTTGTCCCCCACTGTGTCTCTCTTAAGCCCCTCACTTTCCCTCCAGTCCCTCAGCTGCCACAGAGGCTCTGGCTGTGGGAGTCCTGGTCACCTTGATTGCAAGGTCACTCCCACCCCCCGCCCCTCCTCATGGTGTTGGAGAGGTGTTTCTGACCGCTGCTCGGTTGCATCTAAAAACTGCAGCGCTTACTGGGTCTCTGGGCCGTGTGATAAAGCCCTGGGTCCTTGGCCGGGCAATCATGGCCTCGCCTGCTTCTCTGACCTCACCCCAGCTGCCTCCTCTGCACCCCTACAGCCTTTCTGGACCACTGAATCCCCACGTATCTATCGCAAGCTCCTACCTCCATGGCTCTGCACACGCCCCTAATCCACCTGTCCTTCCTGCCATCTCCACAGAGAAACCTCCCGGATCCCCTTCCTAGGCTGCCTCCCTCCCTTCTCCACCCTCTGTTCTCCTTGGGGGTCTGATGTCTCTGGCCCTGTGTCTGTTGAGTGGATTCAGGTGATGCCCCCTGCCAGCAGAGCACCCAGGAGGTGCCTAGGAATTAGTCTGATCCAACTCCGGCCACATCCCTCTCCCTCCAGGGGTGAGCGCTACATCGGCATGTGGCAGGCTGGTCAGCGCCACGGCCCGGGGGTCATGGTCACCCAGGCAGGTGTCTGCTACCAGGGCACCTTCCAGGCGGACAAGATCGTGGTGAGTGGAGTGTGTCCTGGGCTACCCTTTCCTTGCACCCCACTCCCGCTGGGGGCCCTGAGGCTGAGCTGAGGCCTTTCAGGGAGGGATGGGAAAGGGAGCTGTGTTCCTGGGTGCTGGAGGGAGCCAGACCTGGGCAGGGACCCAGCTCTACCACCCACCACACCTAGCCCTGGCCAGTCCCTGCTCTGCCCGACCTTGGTTTCCCCATCAGCAACTCGGGTTAAGAATACTTACCGTAGGCTCAGTGAACTAGCGAGAACAGGGCGTGTACTCATGATGATGCGTTAGCTGACATTTGTAGAGCTCTAACTTGAGACCCAGCTCTGGGCTAAGCTCCCACCCTGATCTTGTGGGATCCTCCCAAGAGCCCTACAGGTTGATGTCACTGTTATCCCCAGTGCGTCCCTAGTGAATGACAAATGAGAGGCTCAGAGGGATCAGAGGACCTGCTCTGTGTCACCTTCACTAAGTGGCAGAGCTGACACTCACACTCTGGTTTGCTGAGCCTGGGAATCCCACGTTTGCCTCACCCATACGCTGCCAGGTGCTTGGGGAGTGTGGGGCTCTGGCCTGATGGCTGTTCTTGCTATTATGGTTTGTCGGTTTGTTTACGTTCTGCTTCATCCTGGAAAGGATTGAAGGAGGCCTTCGAGGAAAGAGGAGGAAAAGGCAAGAATAAGTATACAAAATAGAATCGGAACTGAGCTGAACATTAATAGTATCCCTTTTGGCTCTGAGCTTCCTAGCAGCCCATGGGGCAAGGGAGTCTTGTTAGCTCTGCGGTCCCCAGGGCCAGTGACGAGCAGGAAAGCAGGGATGGTTCAGAGAAAGCCACACATTCCTTGAGCTCTTAAGAGCTTCCTGGAGATGCCGCTGAGGTGAGGAGAAGGGCAGAGGGTATCATTTGGGAAACCCAGCGATGGGGTCCTCAGGGCTGGTGCTCAGCAGGCCAAAGGTTAGAGTCCCACTTAGGCACAGTCCTGTGGGGAGTGACGAAGCCTAGAGCCCACCTCCCCATGTGTCAGGGCACACCTCCTTTTTTTTTTGCCATCTCTCCCCCACCCCGAGTTTCTGGGCTCTTCCTAACCCACCACTTCTACCCTCCCTGGCTTCCTCTCCCCAAGGGCGCAGGCATCCTCCTCTCTGAAGACGACTCCCTGTATGAGGGCAACTTCAGCAGGGACCTGACCCTCATGGGGAAGGTGAGGACCACCGAGGCCCCACTCCTCACCCCGCCGAGGCCTTGGCTGGGGTCTGTAATCTCCCTGCTTGGACTCAGGGCTGGGGATACAGACAGATGCGGGAGCAGGTAGGGGAGGCCCTGTCCCACCTCCGTTGCAGCCAAGTGGTGGGCACAGCAACTTCTCCCTGCCACAGGGTTACAATTGATTCTGGAGTGAGGTGAGGGGGGACTGGTGGTCTTGCCTGCTGTCCAGAGGGTGCAAGTGGTCTCCTGGCTGTGTCCCCCGTGTCCTTCTAGCTCAGAATACATGTCCTCCACCAGCACCAGTGTCTTGAGCAGCTGTCCCTGGAGGCACTGGCCTTCAACCTGTGCCTCCCTGAGAGGACCCAGCAGAAGGCAATGTGTCTGGGGCCTTTAGAAATGTAGGGGCTGTTTCAGTTTTGTAATGTCTGGAGTGAAGGGGCGGAGACTGGGTTGCTATGAATGGGACAGCCCCAGGCAGCAAGGCCCCGCTTTGCCTGTCCCTGAGCTTACCCCACCCCAGCCCCTCAGTGGTGATCTCCCCACTCTTGCCTGTGTCCCTTCTCCATCTCCCTCCTCTTCCCAGCTCAGAGGCCAGCGAGCCCCTGGGACATGGTACAGCTGTTGGTAGGGGGTTATGAACCCCTCAGGGTGGGGTAGCTTGAGTGGATGGCGGGAAGCCCACTCATCAGTCCTTAGCCTCTGTGACACTGAGGGACAGGCATGTGACCTGTCACAATTGGCTGGAAGCACAGCGGGGCAGACAGATATCCCTGCTCCCTCTGCTGGCTCACAGGGCAAGGTCACCTTCCCCAATGGCTTCACCCTGGAGGGCTCGTTTGACAGTGGGGCAGGGAGAGGACTGCACACACAGGGTGTGCTGGACACGGCCGCCCTCCCACCAGACCCGAGCAGCACCGGCAAGAGGTGAGTGCCTGGTCCCCTGGCTCTGGGCCTATCTGAGAATGTGTCTGTGTTTCCACTCCAAGGACTCAGGTCTCATCAGAGGGGATGTTTTGCACCCCCCATTGGCACTCTAGAGAGTTTAGAGAGCACAGGGTGCACAACTCCAGCACAACTCCAGTCAGAGACTCTTACAATCAGGGGCTATGTGGATATGATGCTGGACACTACAAAACTGGAGAAAAATACTATTTGTAGGCTTTGCTTAGATCCTGCTTTTTTTTTTTTGTCTCAAAAATATACAATACGTTTTACAAACTAAATGCACAGGAAAAAAATAAAAAATAAGAGGATGTGCTAACCTTAAAAGTAAGGGATAGGCAGACGGGCCCTACACCATTTACGACTGATCATTTGGCCTGGGTGAGTTTCCTGGCAGCCAAGGTAAAGAAGGAAACTTGCTAAGTTGAATCAGAGTCATTATCAAGGATTATTTGAGAGGGGGATAGACTTCTTTTCCTGTAGGGACGGTGTTTCTCCTTGCAAAACTGTTGCTCTTGCCGCCTCTGTTGAGGAAGACTTAGTATTGTACAGAGGAAGGAATCTGTGTCGGTGGCAATTCTAATGGGAAGTGGTCCCCGGCAGCATTTCAGATGTAGGGAGGGAGTACAGTTGGCTACTTGGCCTGCCGTCCCTGCATGCTGCTTCTCCCTGACAGCAGGAGTGGACAGGGAATGGACAGCAGTCCCCAGGGGCAGGCTCCAGCCCGGGTGTGGGTGTAAGCTGCAGTTATGGGGTAGCCTATGAGCAGGAGACTGGAGTGCGGGCTCCAACAGACACGTGGAGCCAGGCCCCGGCCTGTTGGCCAAGGTGGAATCAACTGTAGGAAGGAACCGGCTGTCGGGGAGGGCAGAGCGGGATGTCCTGGAGGGGAATCCCAGACTTTGGGCACTGGTCTCTCTTGGGCCACGACCCGCTCTCTGGGTTGGCCTCCAGATCTGCCCGCCTTTCTGTCTCCATCTTTCCAGGATTCCGTGTGCTTCTGTCTCTCTCTTCTCACCGCAGGGTAGATTCTGTATGTCCCTTTCTCTGCTGCTCTTTCTCCTGGAGCCATGGAGGTCAGCCACCTCTGCATGGTTCGATCCATCCACCCTTCTTGGGGCTTGATCCTGGGCCAGGCTGGTACCCCCAAGGGCCTGGGCAGAGTCCTGCCTGCCGAAGCTCCATCTCTCCCTGCCCCGTCACCCACCCTCCACCCCCATTGCAGGCAGCTGGGCGTGGGTGCCTTCCCCGTGGAAAGCCGCTGGCAGGGAGTCTACAGCCCCTTCCGGGACTTTGTGTGTGCTGGCTGCCCCGGGGACCTGCAGGAGGCCCTGCTGGGCTTCCACGTGCAGAGCTCCAGGAAGCTGCGCAAGTCTCAGGACTACCTGTGCTGCGAGAGGTGAGGCCCAGCTGTGCGCACATGCACAGGTCGGGGTGGGCTGCGGAGGAAGGCTTCCTGGGGGGAGGGGCCTGTGCCCAGGCGTGGGTGAGGGACGCTCTTTGTGGTGCCCAGGGCCCACCCCAAGGACAGTGCGGGCAGTATGGAAGACATCCTGGAGGAGCTGCTGCAGCATCGGGAGTCCAAGGCCCTGCAGCCGTACCTCAGGAAGGTGAGAGCCCTGCCGGGGTGGTCAAGGGGGTGACATTCTCACTGCCCGTGGTGGGGAATGGCTCCTAGTTTTCATAGCAGGGTGCTGACTGTAAGGGAACAGGTCTGTGGGCTCAGAGGACCTCTGTTCCCATGTATGGGATGGGAGAAGTGGTGTGAGGTGGTGTGGGCGTGCTGTGCTCCAGACCCTGGGGCTGAGTCTCTCTCGGTTCCCTGCGCACTGGCCCAGGCTCTGAGCAACTCACTGCACCCCCTGGGAAAGCTGCTCCGGACACTGATGCTGACCTTCCAGGCCACCTACGCAGGTGTCGGGGCCAACAAGCACCTGCAGGAGCTGGCCCAGGAGGAGGTGAAGCAGCACGCGCGGGAACTCTGGGCCGCCTACAGGTGAGCTCGGTGGCACCTGGGACAGCCACTGCTCTGTGACACCAGGGGAGTGGCGTTGCCCTTTCCAGGCATCTGTTCTGCCTTGCACCTGGAAGGAGTGCCAGTGTCTCTACCCCAAATCTGATTCAACAACGAACCAGAGGCTTGGTCAGTGCGCAGCTGCCGAGCACAGGGGTTGCAGGGTGGGGAGGTGAGAGCAAGGGCCAGCTGCAGTCCTCAGCTAGAGTCCACGTCCCAGCCAGGCCCTGGGCTGACTCTGACCCAGGGGCACTCTCACCCCACTGTAGGCTGAGCTTGACCCTGGACTCGGAACACATCTGCAGTCCCAAGCTGAGCTGTGACCCCATCAGACATTGCAAATAGAAGCCTTAGATGCTGTAGTTCCTTCTGCTGCTGGGGTTCCAGGATTCTCAGGCTGACATCCTGGAGCTCCAGCCTTCTAACTGCCGCGGTTTGAGAGGAGGAAGCCTGCAGGCCATGCCCACAGTTCTGAGAGGCGGCCTGCTCTTGTCTTTGCCGACTGGCGGTGGAGCTCCAGTTCTGTGGGAGGTGGCAGCCACGCCATTTCTCTCTCATTGGCTCACAGGAGTCTCCTGCGAGTTGCCTTACAGCGCAAGGGCCAGACCCTGGAGGAGGATGAAGACGCAGAGACAAGGTGACTGGCCCAGGGCTCCTTGGGGTCTGCCGAGTCCAGGGAGGCCTCATGCACCTGCCCCTGAGCCCTCCCTTGGGGAAAAAGGTGCTTCTGCGGAAGTGCTGGGCATTCATGCTATTGACCAAGCATTGCACATCATTTGTGGATTAGAATGACCCATGACCTTTGTTCTGTGAGGAACCAGGGAGGGGGCCACTGCTACAGTGCATTGAATGCATCTCTGTTCCAAATGTATGATCCCAATCTCATCTTTCCCATGCGGAGGGTGAGTAGCTCCCCGAGGCACCCTCCCTTCCCTGCACACAGATAGGGAAACTGAGGGCTGGCAGGGATGAGCCTGAGGTCAGACAGGAGTCAGGTGGGTCATTAAGTCTGTCTCCCCCAGTCCCTGGAGCAAACCTTACAATTTGTCCTTAGATTCCAGACCTGGAGATGTTCCTGATCAGAAAGGCCTTCCTGTCACTGCATTGCAGGGGGCAAGGAAAATGGGGTTAGACATTAGGGAGAACTTCCCCTAGAGTCCTAGGAAGCACAGCAAGCCAGGAGGTGGAACTGAATCAGCGTGGAATGGCTGCTGAGGGATTGGATGCAAGCTGCTCGCCCATCAGGGGCCCTGGTTTTGTTTTCAATCAAAGGGGGATCACACTCCCACCCCTCCTGCCATCTTGGCTGTCCAAGTCAAAGGAGGGAATGAGGTTATGAAGTAAATTGGGAAAATGATGTCTGAGAACAGGCTTGGAAAAGGTTTTCTGCAGAGGAGGAGGCTGGAGGTCGGGACACTGTTGTGGGACTGGGAGCTCTTTGAGAGGTGACGCCAAGTAGTGATCCCAGACCCCACCTTGCTCATCCCGACCTGTTCCGGCCTCCCCCTCAGGGACCTCCAGGTGCATGGATTGGTGCTGCCCCTCATGCTGCCCAGCTTCTACTCAGAGCTCTTCACACTCTACCTGCTGCTTCACGAGCGGGAGGACAGCTTCTACAGCCAGGGAATCGCCAGCCTGAGCCTCTTCCCCGACACCCAGCTGCTGGAGTTCCTGGCTGTGCAGAAGTAAGCCCTCCCTCCCCAGTGCCGTGTTAGCCAGGACTCTAGTGTAGCAGATGACACGAGCTCAACTCAGATTGTCTTCAGCCAAAAGGTGGGGCTGGGGTTGATTGGCTCGTGCGCCCACCAAGTTCTAAGCTTATGCATTCAGGTGTGGCCGGATCTAGGTGCTCAACGGAATGACAGAGGGAAGCACCTTCTATTTCTCTCTGTTGGTCCTTCTCAGGCTCCCCCTTGTGGTGACAAACACCATAAGCACCAACCGCTCCACGTTCATACCCTATCAGCTCCACTCCTGGAGTCCCCACAGGAGCTGGCCTTGCCTTCCCACAGCTCCCACAGAGCCCCTGAAGTCCCTCTATGGCTCTGCTTGGGTCTTGAGCCCACCCCTGAATGCCGGCCGTGATTGACCAGGCCTGCCTGAATATCCACTGCTGAGGCTGGGGCAAGGTCACCTCTGCAAGGTCACCTCTCTGGGCACTTGGGCTGAGAGGAGAGGAGAGGAGATCCCTCAGGGAACCGATGACTGTTCTGGGTACAAGTCAGGAGGTGTTGACCACACCCCAGGGCCCCCCTTCCACCCTCAGTCTCCAAAATGTCCTGTCTCCTCAGTGTCCCATCTATCCATTGATGCCACAAATGACCCCATTGTCCCCAGTGGAGGGCACGGGCACCCTCCCTGCTCCCACATCCCAGCCTCCCTTGTTGCCAGGGATGGTGCTTCCCACTCACCCTGCAAATCCCTGTTTCCTCCTCCATCTTGGTGAATGTGTCCTGCATGTGACCAGCCACCGGCCTGGAGACTTGGCTGCCAATGCTTCTCAAGCGTGCCCTGCCTCCCCCGCCGCCTCAGTGCCGCGTCCCCACCACAGCCTCCAGCTCTGCTGCGTGAGGGCTGCACCCCCGGCTCACGGCCCTGTGCCGGCTCACCAGAGCCTCCAGGACGGACTGCCGTCTCTCAGCCCTCCCTCTCTGGCGGCCACCATGACCTGGCTCGTACAAGCCCTCGCCTCCCTGGAGCTTCCAGAGTGCTGCCTTCTCCAGGAATCCTTCCATCCTCCCTGTGCCCTGGGCCGATCTCCTTCCCCTCTCCAGGACCCAGCTCTGCCGGGGGACACAGTGGCACAGGGAATTTGCCCTCTGACTTCAGACCCTGTCCCTTGTCCAGGCAAAGCCTCCTGTCTCACTTTTTCGATTTCAGGCACTTGTGGCCCCTCAAGGACCTCAGGCTGACGAGCAATCAGGTGAGAGGGAGGCCTGAGCCCCGAACCAGGGCCCCCAGAGGTCCTGCTAGCATCCAGGAGCACTCTGCCTCACGATTGCTGGGTGGAGGCTGCAGGGGAGCTGGGGAGGGGTGGGGTGGGTCGGGAGGAGACACCGTCATTCTGACTTCCCGGTGTGGTGGGGGTAACCTGTTGGCCTCTAAGCACCAGGCTCTTAAACACAGGCTCTTATCTGGCCGTGTGACTGTGTGCAAGAGGCTTGAGCACGATGCCCCAGCTCCTCGTCAGTTAAAGGGAGCCAATGCTAGAACCACCGCAACATTCTGATTTTATTTATTTATTTATTTATTTATTTATTTTTAGAGACAAAGTCTCACTTTGTTGCCCAGGTTAGAATGCAGTGGCACGATCTGGGCTCACTGCAACCTCCGCTTCCTGGGTTCAAGCGATTCTCCTGCCTCAGCCTCCTGAGTAGCTGGGATTACAGGTGCATGCCACCACACCTGGCTAATTTTTGTATTTTTGGTAGAGATGGGGTTTCTCCATGTTGGCCAGGCTGGTCTCGAGCTCCTGATTTCAGATGATCCGCCCACCTTGGCCTCCCAAAGTGCTGGGATTACAGGCGTGAGCCACCGTGCTTGGTTGGAACCCCCTCAAAGTTGTTGTGAGGGTGAAGTGGGCACATGAGGCAGCTGTTCTCAAAATGTGCCTGCCAGACTGGCATCAGGATCATTTGGAACCTGTTAGAAAAGCAGATTCTTGGACCCACCCCAGACCTACCGAGTCAGAAACCCAGGGAGTGGCTCAGGACCCTGTGTTTCAACAAGCCCCTGGGTTGCAGAGCCATCGATGTAGGCACTCAGAACTGGGCGGCACCCAGTGGCCAGTGCCTGTTACGATTATTAGCTTCTTATCCATCCGGATCCTCCCAACCTCCTGGAGACCACTCACCCCGTTTTATGGTTGCACAAACTGAGGCCCACAGTGGAGCTTTGTTTGCCCTGGCTCACTCAGCCCGCAGGATGGGGCTGCACTGAAGCTAGCAGTGGAAATGGGGAGGATGGCAAGGGACTGAAGCCTGGCCCTGGGAAAGAGGGGATGTCAGAGCTGGGGGGCCACGGCCTCATCCAGCCCACTCCCTCCACCATGCAGAGGTGCTCCCTGGTCAGGGACAAGTGCTTCCTGTCAGCCACCGAGTGCCTGCAGAAGATCATGTGAGTGTGTGCGGTAGTGGGGTGGGGGTCCAGAGGCGGAGTGTGGGGGACTCCTGGTTGGGACAGAACCAAGGGCCTTGACCTGGAGCCAGCTACCCTGCTGCAGGACCACGGTGGATCCACGGGAGAAGCTGGAGGTGCTGGAGAGGACGTACGGGGAGATTGAGGGCACCGTGTCGCGGGTGCTGGGCCGGGAGTACAAGCTGCCCATGGACGACCTGCTGCCGCTGCTCATCTACGTGGTGTCACGTGCCCGGTGAGGTGGACAGGCGGGAGCTGGGGATGCAGGGCAGGGGCAGAGGCAGGGTCCCAGCCGAACCCTGCCACGATATCTTCCGACACTTCTGAACCCCAGCGTTTATGAATGCGGCTTTTCTCAGTACAGATGGGAAGCCAAGGCCCAGGAAAGGGAGGGTCCCAGCCGGGGTACTGGGGTGCTAGAGGCAGAGTGAGGACCACACCCCAGGTGTCCAGCCATCCAGGCCAGGGGTCCTTCCCCAGCTGCCTGTCCATGACAGCCCTCTTCTCTCTGTCTCCCTCGCTCTCTTGGTGGCGCGGTGTTCTCCAGAATTCAGCACCTGGGAGCTGAGATCCACCTGATCCGTGACATGATGGACCCCATCCACACAGGAGGCCTGTATGACTTCCTGCTTACGGCCCTGGAGGTGAGGGACGCTGTGGGTGGAGGTGGGAATGCCCTCGGTCCCGGGGCAGACCCTCTCACCTCCCCAGACGCCATCTCACCATAGTGGGAGTGAGCTCAAATTCACAGCGCCTGTGTGACTCTGTGGGAAGGGTCCTCAAAGCGTCCCTGATCCTGCTCTTGTTAAAGGAGCCAGGAAGGGGTCCTGCAGTGCATCCCAGCCCTGGGGACCCTGGGGGCATGACTGCTCCACGCTGCATCCCCAAACACAGTGGGAGAGGGAGGGCCCCCTTTTTCTTGCAGACTGTGGCTGAGGGCTGAGTTGGAGACATGCCCCCTCTGGGTTGGGAGGTGGGTGCACACAGCTATTGGGCCCTAGATCCTGGGCCTGTGGTTGAGATAAGGCAGGCCAGCTGGCCCTAACCTTGCCTCTCTCCTGCCAGTCCTGTTACGAGCACATCCAGAAAGAAGACATGAGGCTGCGCCACTTACCTGGCCACTGGCACTCCAGGGAGCTCTGGTAGCTTGGCCTCTCCTGGACAGACTGCAGAGCTGAGCAGGGCACTGCCAGCCTGTCCCTCATCACCCAAGTCAAAAGGCAGGACAGGCCCTCGGAGGCAGCTCTTGGAGGAGACGAACATTTGTTTTGCACAGGAAGATGCTTCTGCCCTGCCTGGCATGAGAGTGAGGGGTGATGGACGTGGCCCAGAACCTGGTGGATTTCCCTTGGCCACTTGCCAATCTCCAATGACCCCTTAATCTGCAGCAGCTCACAGGCTGGGCGTGAGGAGCCCCTGGCTTCTCTTAGCCTGAGCGTTTCTCCCAAGTTACGGAGCCTCAGTGCTGCCATCTGTACAAAGGGAGTGAGTAGGCTATAAAGGACCTTCCACCCATCTTGCTGAATTCTAGCGTCCTTTCAGAAGGCTGACTTTAGTCTGTTGGGCTGTACTGAAATTCTCATGTCACTGTTGGTCTCTTACCTGTTTCTCCACTCCTGGTTGGAAGGCTGTGAGCTGCAGCACCTTCTACCTACCACTGTTTATCTGGCCCTTTTCCCTCAGGTGGTCTTCTGGGGGACCTGCCTCCTTCCCAGCTCTGTCCCTGGGCCAAAAGCTCCTACTCCACTTCAACCTGCTGGGTGACCTCTGGCAGGCCCTAAGCCTCACTGGGTATGCAGTCAACAGGGTAGGCCTGTAGGTCTGTGAACTGCAGGCCACGTACCCATGACGTAAATGGCGGCGCTGGAGCAAGCTGGGGTGGGGAGGGGAGGAAGCCTCACTGCCAGCAGGCTCCACATGGCCCGTGAGTCACACGCCTGTGGCATCTGTGGGCCTGCCTGACGGTGGACAGCAGGGGCACATGACGCCTGCCTGGGCCCTGACCAGTAAGCCCCTTGGATGCGAGACCCTGCTGGGGTTGGGGAGCAGGGGTAGCTTTGGGAGGGGGGGACTTTATTTAAACAGTGGTTCTAGTGTGGGACCAAGAGAGGCAGGAGCTGGGTCTTGGGGCAGCTTCATTCCTGCTGGATCTCAGTTTCTTTTCCCCACACTGAGGGGCTTGGGCCAGGTGACCTGCAGGGTCTCCCTCTGTCCTAACAGGAGATGCATGATGACAGGCAGTGTGATATGTTCTGAAAGGGTCCAAGGCAAAGCATAGGGAGAGGGTGGGTTTGTGCAGGGTGCAGCCCTGGAGAAGAGGTGGATCGCTCCTGGTCCCACTCCTGCTGAGCAGGTCAGGCTCCTGGTCCCACTCCTGCTGAGCAGGTCAGGCTCCTGGTCCCACTCCTGCTGAGCAGGTCAGGCTCCTGGGCCCACTCCTGCTGAGCAGGTCAGGCTCCTGGGCCCACTCCTGCTGAGCAGGTCAGACTCCTGGGCCCACTTCTGCTGAGGTGGATTGCTCCTGGTCCCACTCCTGCTGAGCAAGTCAGGCTCCTGGCTCTGCGCATGGCTCCCCCAATGAAGTACTGACCTCAGCCTATGAGGAGGAGCTGAGGGAGGCTCTGGAAAGCCCAGTCACACCTGAATCCCCAGTAGTAGCCTCAGGGCAGAGGGCACCTGCAGAGCCCCAGAGATGATGTGGGCAACGAGCAGAGAGAGCCCGGTGCCTCTGTTCACCGCCACCTCCTTAGGAAGGAAGAAAGCCTTTCTCTGGCTGGTTCCACTAAATGTGCCAGCCCAAATGTAGGGCACGGATTCTGGTTCTGCCAGGAGCCTGTGACACTCCCAAGAAGGGGGTGGAACTGAGGAAAAGCGAGGATGTGTAGGATGCACAGGTGGTGCTTACCAGAGACTGTGGCAGCTCACTAGGATTCTAATCCCTTGTAACTGGTGTCAGCCAGCTCTCGTCCCCAGACAATCAAGGACAGCCTAACCCTGCCCTCACATGCAGCCAGCCCCAAGTTCCGGCAATGCTGCCAGGAACCCCTCACACTTCCCTGCCTCCTTTGGGATTTGCGAACCCTTGTTGCAGTTCAGATTCCACAAGACCCTCTGCCCACCCTCTCACTGGGCCTCACCCAACCAGTGAAACTGGAGCCTCTGGCTATGCACAGTGGCTCACTTTGGGAGGCTGAGGCAGGAAGATTTCTGGAATCTGAGAGTTCAAGACCAACCTGGGCAACATAGTGAGACCCTGTCTGTACAAAAATAAAATAAAATAAAATAAAAAAGTGATTAGCTGGGTGTGGTGGTGTGTGCCTGTAGTCACAGCTCCTCAGGAGGCTGAGGTGGGAAGGTCACTGAGCCTGGAAGGTCAAGGATGCAGTGCCAAGATCGCACCACTGCACTCAATCCTGGGTGACAAAATGAGACTCTTTCTCAAAAAAAAAAAAAAAAGAAACAAATAATAAATAAATAAGTAAGCGCCTCTGGACAGAGCCTTAGGGGCTGCAGTGTTTTAAAAGAGCCCTGGAAGAGTCCAGGGGCAGCCGGGGCTGTATCAGACCTTTACAACAAAACCCACAGAACAGGCAGGCAGGAGTCCGGTAATGAGCCTGACTACTGCAGTGAGTGCTTTGTGTACGAAGACCCGCCCAGTCCATGCTCCCAGCTGCCGCAGGAGCCCCTGGCTGCCCAGAGAACACGCTGGTGCCCAGTCTCTGCATGGCAGGATTGGCCAGCAGGGACCCCAGCACCTCAGTGATCCCACTGATGTTCAGAGCAGCCTGGCAGGGCCCAGCTCGGGGCCCTCACCATTCCAGTTTCCACCTCCCTCCCCGGGATGAGGATTCTGTCTTCAGCCATGATATTGAGGAAGTGGTAAGATTCTTCCTAATCAATTCCAAATGGCATTTCACACCTGCCAGCCACACCTGCTGCCTCGTCCCGCCCTGCCCTCTAGCTCCTGCCCATCTCACTCATGCTCTTCCAGCAGAAATGCCCTCCTCCAGTCCCACTAGGTCCCACGCTGAGCCATCCTTCAGGTCTAGCTCCTATGAGGCCCCTGTTACCCTAGGAAGACGCCTCCTCTCTTCACAGCCCCTTTTCAGACCCTGGCCCTTCTCATTACTAGTAGATGAACAGTGGGTGTCTGCTTCTCATCCATCCCCCAGGCGCAGTGCATGCCACCTCGCCCGGCACCTGTGCTTCAACCCCGCAGTGTGTCCAGGATGGATGGGCCCCAGGGAAATGGAGCCCTGGCCAAACTCAGGCCAGGAGTAGACAGCAAATTGAAGCTGAAGCCTCTGGAGAAGGGGAAGAAAAGACGGACACCCTCTGTCTCGCTCCATAGTCACGCTGGACACCAGAGGCTCAGGCCTGGCCCTCCTGGGGCCACATGCCCACACCTGGTGATGCCAGTCTGGCAGGACACCTCCAGGCACTGCCCTGCTGCTTGGTGTGGAGGTCCAGCTGCAGGAATGCCACACAGTGGCCAGGCCACAGCTGGTGACCCAGATGTGGTGGTTGATGGAGAGGGTGTCCTGAAAGGGCCCAGGGCACAGTGTGGCCCCATGGAGTCCCCTGGAGGGACCGCCAACTCCTCTATGAGCAAGCCTCCTGAGGGGCCTCCTGCGTGGCAGCCCTGTTCCCTGCCTGGAGTATGGTCTGGAATGGCTGCCCCACAGTGGGAGCTGGCAGGCTTCAGAGGGACCTGAGTGCTGAAAAAGCCTCTGTTTATTCACACAACCCCCCAGGGTGCTGGAGCCAATGCATGGTCAGGGTGCTCCCCATGGGTGCCCCTTGCCTGCTGCAGTGCCAGAGAAGGCTAGAGGGATGCTGAGGCCAGAGGGCTGACCCGGGGCTGCTCAGCATCACTATGTGAGTGAAGCAGATGCTGACTGAGTAGGGCCCCAAGGAGGGCCCCAGGACCTCAGCTGTCACTCTCCCAGAGGGATGGTTGACCACTGGGGCCCAACAGCGAACAGGGGCTGCCCTCTTATGGGTGCCAGGGAAAGAATATGGTGAGGGTCTGGGTTAAAGTCAGCATGAGGGATACAGTTAGGGATTAGGGTTGAAGTCAGGGTCAGGGTCCAGGTAGATTTAGGGACTGGAGTGAGAGTGAGGGTCAAAGTCAAGCTCAGATTGGGTCAGGGCTTTTCTGATTGGCTTTGTAAAGGGTTGTACAGACATGCACTCTGGCATTTACTCTTGCTGTGGGCAAGAACCTGGGATGGGATCCAGGCTGCCAGGGTCTTGGTCTCTCTGGGACTTTGGCCAAGTCCTTTCCCTAACTGGGTCCTGTTGTCTGTAAGCAAAGGAGCTGCCCAGACACCCCTGTTCTGCCATCAGGAGCACCCCTGCTGCGAAGGGCAGGCAAGAGACACAGCTTGGGCTCTGGACGTGTTGAAGAGGGCAGCAGGTACAGCTAAGCACTTTATGGCCTTTATCTTAACTTCCTCGCAACCAAAGCCCGGGGAATCAAACCCAGGAAACCAAGGTGCTCAAGGGCAAGCAGAAGCACATGCTCTGCCCCTGATAAACAGGGGGTGAGTAACTATGGGGGACTGGACCCACACGGTCTCACGCCAGAGCCCAGGTGCCAGCTGGGTGACTGCACGGCGCTGGCACTACCAGCTGCGGACCTGGAGCCCAGGTGTTTGGCCACCTGTCCCTGTCCTCTTCCCTGGCAGAAACTGCTTCAAGACAGGCGAGTCTCTCCCAAAGTGATCTTCACATATGCCCCTGGCTGAGTATTTGGGAAGAGGTGGGGACGAGGCAGGTGTGGTCTAGTGGTCAGGGTCAGGTAGGGGATGAGAGGTCCAGCGCCCCATTAAATTCAGAGCAGCAGCTACGATCTGTGAGAAGGGCACAAGAGAGTGTTTGTTTTGTTTGTTTATTTGTTTTGGCAGTAGTGTATTAGCAATAATAAGAAGAGGCTAAGGGAAGACTCATCAGTGTCTGGGAAATCGATCATGTTTCATTGCTTTGGCGGAGGCTGTCTTGCCTCTAAAGTCAATAGTCCTCAGTTGAGGCTCTCTTGAGAGAACGGGTGTCTAGGAGTTAGACTGAGGGCAGTGGTGATGGTCTGGGACATGGTGACCTCAGCATTCTTAGAGGACAGGTGGGCCAGGTGTCCTGCACACGAGAGCCAAAAGACGCTAATGGTCTGGCCTATTTCTGCCTCCAGGAGCCTAAGGTGTTCCTTCCCCTCCAGCGGAGCTGCTCCCCTTATAGAAATCCTCACCACTCCTAACCACCCTGTCCAGCTGGAGGTGATTACTACGTACCACCATCCCAGATGTGGGATAATGATCGTGATAATTATCATTAATATCCACAACTGCCCAGCGCCCGCCCGCACAGCCAGGAGGTGAGAGTGACCGGGTAAGCTTCTCCCACCCCAACCCCTGCCTTACAGCCCATGGGTTCCAGTAGCGGGTTCCCCCCATGCAGGAACGGAGGTGGGCAGGGGAGAGTGAGAAGGGTTAATTATGTGGCAGGGTCTCTCACAGGTAGTGTGGGTCTTTTCTCATTCCCCTTCCTTACGTCATGACTAAATATTTTATTTAAATGAGTGACACTTTCCTGGAGAATTGCCACAATTAAGAGTCTACTTATCTCTTCAAGTTTGTCAGTTCATTTCATCTTTTAATGGCACTTGCTGTCTGTGGGTGGTAGGGGACATGAGCTGTCACACAGCCTCCAGGGAGCTGCCTATTGCTGGTTCTCTGGGCTGTGACTGGATGTGTTCCAGGAGCTGAGATCTGCAGCAGCGCGTTGCGGAGTGCTCAAGCAGCAGGGCGCCCACTCCCCGCGAGGGGAACTGCTGTGTCATACCCAAGAAAGGCATCTACTGTCGTCAGCACCCCGAGGTGCTCCTGGCAGGAGGGGAGGAGGTCCGCGGAGTCTGTCTGGCAGGACTGGCCAGGTCAGCATACTGGAGTGCACAGATCACTGTGTGCGCTGGAGTCACTTTGTCGTGTGACTGGAGCTGGTACACACTTGCAGGCTGGCTTGGCCCCGTGTGCTGGCCTCACTAGGCTTTGATGTGGGCCCTAGTCCTGAGCTATAGACGGATGGCCAGGCCCCGTGTGATGGGGTATCCGGGTGGCTGGATCCTTACCTGGACTATGCAGAATAGGTCAGCTTGTTGGCTTCACTGACATTCACTGCCAAGGGGTCCTGTTCCACGGGTTTTCAGAGGCCATGGGCCCTGTGCGACCTGCGGCCTAATGTTTGCTCCTACCGGGGTTGGGAGCTGACATCCAGTTGTTCCACTGTCAAGTGCCAGACCACATGGTCAGCCCACTGGCTACTGGCTGCCAGCTAGTGAGAATGTAACGAGGTGCATTTTGGAGGCGGCGGTTTCCAGGGCAAGCACCACAGCCTGCACCTGCGCCATGCGAAGACTTCTTTCTTCATACGCGGCTGTCATCAGTCTTTTCTGTTGGTGCTGTAGTTTGGCTGGTCTGCCTGTGACTCAGGCCCAGGCCTCCTCAGGGCCTGTGCTGTGGTAAAGTCCCCAAGGAGCCTGAGGTGCTGGTGCAGACCCCAGGTCTGGGGTAGCTACGCCTGGCGGGTGACTGGCCACTTTTTCATGCAGGTGGGAGATTCCACTGATGCCTGGCTTCCTCCGTTCTTGGCTGTCCCTCTGTCATTTGGTGACACATGTCTGCTGGGCGGTGTTCACTGTGTTGGCATCTTTCCTCCAGGCCCACTCTATGGGGGCTGCCTGGGAGGAACCATGCATGGGGAGCTGATCTCTCAGTGTCCACCTATACCCAGCTGCAAGCCAGCAACTGCCACTCAAGGGGGTGTGCTGGGCCGTGTCTGTCAGGTGACTGCGGTACTCAGAACACCAGGATCACCTCTGCTGACTGCCGGCATCCTGCTGCAACGGGTTCTGGGCATAATTGCCTGCCACACACACTCATAATTTTCAGGGCTCTTCAGGACGAATTGGACGGTGGGGAGGGCAGTCAGCATGGCTGCAGGATGGCTTCCTTGGGTGCCTCTTCTCTCCAGCTCCTTAGTGCTGTGGCCCCTGCTCTCTTCCATTCTCTGCTGCTTTACTGCCATCCCGTGGCTGGGCAGGCGAAGACTGGTGGGCTCCCAGATGTGCCCTTGAACCCTGGTCACGGTTCTAACTGTGGCCCTTCCCCGCTGGGAGCAGACCCTGCAGCCAGGAGCCATGGCCTCGGCTGATGCACAGAGCTGCTCGCTCCTACAGGCCCCCTGACCCAGCCTCCCCCACTATTTCATCCTGTCTATTTTTATTTTA